GCTGGGTGGACGTTGGGGACCAGCATCGGTCAGGGGCCGCGGCAATAGACACGGGGCCACCGATCCGAGGGAGGTTTGGAGGCAGCGTCCTGGGCCCTGACTGCTGCTTTCTCCCCACCCCCTCCTGTGCACCCCACCGCAGAGTTTGTCCGGATGATGTCCCGCTGAGGCCGCCAGGGCCCCTCCAGGACTGCCAAGCTCCACGGGCGGGGAGAAGAGAAACCGGAGCTCGCCTCATCCCGCCGCCGCCGCCGCCGCCGCCGCCGCCCACAGCCCGGGACGTACTGGCGGATGGGGCCTGCCTGCACCCCGGGGAGGTGCCCACCCCGGACCCCCGCCCCTCCGCACTGTGAAAGACTCACGACTCCTGCAACTGGAAAGGGGGGCGCCCGCCGACGAGGAGGCCACCGCGCCAGGCTGGCGGAAGTCAGGCCGGGCGCCGAGTGCCATAGACCCAGCCGCTGCTGGCTGGGGGCGCCCCACACAGCATGTCTGCCCTCCGGGGCAGAGCCTCTCGCCGCCCTCCTTAGCTCTGTGCCCGTCCCCCCTCGCCTCAGCCCTGTTATCTCAGAACCAATAAAAATATTTCCAAGAGAAAGGCAGCCATGGGGGGGGGGGTCTTTGCTTCTCCAGCCTGGTTAGATGACACATGCGTTTCCTGAGTACCAGCTGCAGGCCCAGAACTGGGTGAACCTCCCTGCCCTCGACTTGTACTGAGTTCCCATTAGGCACCCAGCCTCTTCCACCTTTGACTGAAAGGGAGACTGGGGCATGTAGTGATGTAGCTGGATTTGCTGCTACCCCAAACAAGGTCAAGTTCTATAAGGAAAGGAGACTGGATATTGGTTGGGTAAGCATCTAGCAGGGTCTGCCTCACTTCCTGCCTCCCTGGAGCTTTCACACTGGTCGAGATAATCACATCCATATGTGATTACAAATTGTGATCCTGCTTTTAAGGAAAAATGCAGGGACCTTTGGTGGGGTACGATAAGGAGGCCTGGACTTACTCTCTGGGGAAGATCAGGAGAGGCTTTCCTGAGGAAGTGATAACAAGGTTTTTGCCCTGGAGGAAATCCCAGTGTGTGTGAGGACACGAATGTATTAGAATGGAACCAGCTGCCAGACTCTCTGCTGAGTGAGAAGCAGGATGGTATAGTAGTTAGGTCCTGGATTTACTTGCTGTGTGACTTTGGGCCAGTCACGTCTCCTCTCTGAACCTCAGTTTCCTCATGTGCAATAAGGGGATAATAAAGAAAAATAAAGTCCACAGTAAATGATCTCAGGGTATTGCATTGCCCACCTCCAGGGGCTGTGAAATTGTGCAAAGTGGCATTATTAAACAGGATCCATTGTAATCATTGTAATTAATTTCTATAAGCCAAGGGCTGAAGGAATCCAAAGGAGAAGTTTGTGGGTAGAAGTCGCCCAGAATCTTTGACAGGCTTGCGGCATAATCGGACAGGTGTGTGGGATGGACCCATGTTCTCCAAACCAGTGGTTCTCAAACTTGAGTATTTTCATCAGAATCGCTTGGAGGGTTTGTTAGTCCCGGCCCCAGATCTGGGCCCCACCCAGTGATTCAGATTCAGTGAATTTGCATCTCTAACAAGTTCCAGGGCATGCCTGATGCTCTCAGGACCTCCATTTGAATAACACTGCTGTAAATCCCAGACACGAGAGAGGCAGGTGTGCTGTGGGCTAAAGGCTGGAAGCAGAAGGTAGGTGGAGGATTCATGCTCTAGGATCTGGCAGGGAAAGACTGTGGGCACCAACCCCCCGCGCCCCCCGCCAGAGGCCTGGGTAATCCCCGTGTCCCAGTGGCTAGGGTGGCTGGGAGCTCCAAATTCACTTGAATAATCCAATTCTGAGACTAAGCCCTTGGCTCTGTGCCCCAGTAGGCAGGCCTGCAGCCCTGCCTGCTCCTGTACCTAGCTCTGCCCAAAGACCCCCAGATCTACACTGTTTCAGAAATCCAGTGACCTTGGAGGGCCAGAGGAGGCATTTGTAGAAAAGGGGCTTCTGGGGGCATCTGTGTCAGCTGACAGGATGAGCCCTTGAGGGCACCACAGGGAGAGGGTAGAGTTAGGGTGTCAGCTAGGACACTTCTGTCCTCAGTATTGTGGCCTCCTAAAATCATAGACAAGGCAGCTGTGATAAAGCGACTTGAGAAGATGACAGGCCACTGTTCAGAGGAGTGCTCAAGTCAAGGGGAGGCCCAGTGGTGGGGCTGCTGCCTCCACCAATGCTGAAACTAGTGCTTCTCCCCTTGAATTTGTCTTATATCTAGGGGTTCCTAATAAGATCATTTGAAGAAAAGTTTCTCTTACTTTCCTAGAACTGAGACCCATTTTCCAAGATGGACCCAATCCCAGGTAGGAATTCTTTCTGCATCTTCACCCCTGGGTGGGTGGGTGGGTGTCATCTTAGAAGAGTTCTCCTTGTCTGTAAGGTCTTAAACTGGGCCTGGATTTGCCTCCTTGTGACTTATAAAGTGCAGCTCATTCACGCATGCATTCAACCACTGTTTATTGAGCACCTACTATGTGCCAGGTCCTGTTCCAGGGTCCCTGTCTTCTAGGAGCTCAGACTGGAAGGGGAAACGGATAAGAAAACAGACAAGGCTAATGTAGTGGTATAAGTGCTATAGTTACTAGGTTACTTATGAGGTTAGCCTAGGAGAAGTGAGGGTACTAAAAAATACCCACCCAATCTAGTGGGGTGGAAGGGACAGATTTGCTCGGACCTGAAGGCTCAGCCCTGCTCAGTCAGAGGAAGTGAGGGGAAAAGTGTTTCCGGTTGAAGGAACAGCAGAAGCAACGTCCTGGAGGTAAGGGAGAGTGTGGCTCCTTTGGGAAACGAAGCAGAATTCCACTTGCCTGGTGTACTGGGCTGGAGGGAGGAGCAGAGATGATGCTGGTCAGAGAGGCAAGGCCTGACCCCACCGCAGACCTTGGAGGGTACAGCGGCTCAGGTGGGACTTCTTTTTTTTTTTTGTATTTTATTTTATTATTATTATTATTTTTTGCGGTACGCGGGCCTCTCACTGTTGTGGCCTCTCCCGTTGCGGAGCACAGGCTCTGGACGCGCAGGCCCAGCGGCCATGGCTCACCGGCCCAGCTGCTCCGTGGCATGTGGGATCTTCCCGGACCGGGGCACGAACCCGTGTCCTCTGTTTCGGCAGGCCACTCAACCACTGCACCACCAGGGAAGCCCTGTATTTTATTTTATTTATTTTTTATACAGCAGGGTTTTTTTTAACCTTTATTTATTTATTTATTTGTGGCTGCATTGGGTCTTTGTTGCTGCACATGGGCTTTCTCTAGTTGTGGCAAGCGGGGACTACTCTCCGTTGCGGTGCGCGGGCTTCTCATTGCGGTGGCTTTTCCTGTTGCGGAGCACGGGCTCTAGACGTGCAGGCATCAGGTAGATGTGGTCTCTGCCAACATGGAACTTGCTGTGGCACGCAGGCTCAGTAGTTGTGGCTTGCGGGCTCCAGAGCGCAGGCTCAGCAGTGTTGACGCACGGGCTTAGTTGCTCCGCAGCATGTGGGATCTTCCCGGACCAGGGCTCAAATCCGTGTCCCCTGCATTGGCAGGCAGATTCTTAACCACTGCGCCACCAGGGAAGTCCCAGGTATCAAGGTTTTTTAAAAAACGGGCCTGAATAGGGACTTCCCTGGCAGTTCAGTGGTTAGGACTCCGTGTTTCCACTGCAGAGGGCATGGGTTTGATCCCTGGTTGGGGAACTAAGATCCTGGATCCCACATGCCACGTGGCATGGCCACAAACAAACAAACAAAAATGGGCCTGAATAAATGACAGTGTCTAGAGATGTGCACTCCAATGGAACAAAAAAACATAAAGAAACACAAGGGAATTATTCCTATAAAAATCTGAATAGGGACCTCCCTGGCAGCTCAGTGTTTAAGTCTCTGCGCTTCCAATAGCGGGGGCGTGGGTTCAATCCCTTGGTCAGGGAACTAAGATCCCACATGCCTGCGCAGCCAAAAAAAAAGAAAAGTCTGAACAGTGGTTTCTTTTAGGGAGAGAGAGGGAGAGGGCTGTGATTGGGATGGGGCACAGAGAGGGGAGTCTCTGGGGAGTCTGGCAAAGTTCTTTTTTTTTTTTTTTTGGCCACCCC